GTACCAAGTCTTGATCCATCATCTTGATGGTTGCAAGTGTTGACTCCGTTTCCATCGCAATAAATTATGAAATATCGTTTGAGAATGTTGGAAAAAATTAAAGCAATGGAAATAGAAATAAGACTTGATCACGAAAATAGTATTGTTATCCTCAAAAGCTTTGGTAGGGGAGGCAAATATCGTTTGAGGACAACGATAATATTTTCGTGATCAAGTCTTATTTCTATTTCCATTGCTTTAATTTTTTCCAACACATTTTTTACATACTCTGGAGCATTATAGATTATTTTTTGTTGTCAATTCTTACAAATGGTGTTTGGTATTAGTACTAAAACTTAATAACACAGTGATGTCATAATAATACGAAACTATTAAGTTATTCTATGATTCTTGTTCATAATGTTATGGCTTGAGATTTTTGTTTATTATATTTATCCATTTAGTTTTGGATCAAAATTTGGTCGGGACTATCGTTAGCCCCTTTGAAGTTGGGGACGGCTATAGCATGGACATGGGCACGCCTTACTCTCGTGTCGCGGTCTTAACTTAAACGTGCCTAGGATGGGGCCGTTTCCTGGATTCAGGTGCAAGGCAATGGTAGGTTCGATCGTGGGCAAATTTTAGATGATGGCGTATAATAGAGTGAACGATATGGGCTAGTTGCTCAGGATGTAATGCAGCGATTGCGAGCATCATTTGAGAGTTGTGTGTAAGTTGGATTTAGACATTAAGGTATTGACGGATTTGAGCTTGTTGGAACAGCTGAGTCTAGTCCACAATCCGTTTGACAAAGAAGAGGCACACGGCAAACGCATCACATATGTAATTGGTGCATGCCCCCTTTCTATCCTCATTATCTAAAAACTCATTTTTTTTTTTTTTCAAATTCATTTTCAACCACATATTTTCACAGTAAAATATTTTGGCTTTTGCACATAATTCAAAACTTTTTTCTACTTTTCAACCACATATTCTCTAAAAAAATCACTATTACAAAACTCATTTTCAACAAAAAAAAAAAAAAAAATTTGGGCTCAAACACAATAAAATGGGCAGATGTGATGACATTGCGTTCCTTAATACTTCCATATCGTGTTGTATTCTCTTTTAATAAAAAGCTAAGAATGATGATTCATATCCATTTTCTTATATATTTCAATGTTTTCTTACAAATTATTTTAATTAACACAAAATAATTATAAACTATACTTCTGTTATCAACATATATATGGTTGGTAATTCTATGACTATTTTTCTTATCTAAAAAGTAAAAGCGTAAGTGATAGTGGGCCTTGCATCTTACATAACAAAAGAGTAATCCACTAAAAATGCACTCCAATTTTATTTTATTTTTGGTCCACTACCACATTGGGTGGTGATCATAGATAAATAGTGTCATTCGTAGTATTCAAACCACTAAAAGTCTAAAAGATTATTGATTATGATCATCGTTAATTTATGTGACAGTTAAATTCTGATTTATTGTGTTATGAAATTGTGATGCATTTTAATGTAATGGACAATGAATCATTGAGACCATTGCTATCTAGATTGTTGATTATCACAATTATGTAATCACAATTTATTCTCGGAGACATTAAAATGAGGGAGACACGGATTGCTTACATAATTTAAGGGAAGTAATATGATGTATCTTTTAATGTATAAATCTGTTTGTATGGTATGATTTACAGAATGGTGATCTGAATTATATTAACTGACTTGTAATTGACTTCTTTATTTTTTCTCTTCTATATCATCATTTTGTAAATCAATCTATATATGATGTACAAATAACATTATTCATCATTTAATAACCACCAATTTTCACATTTTAATCTTACATAAATAAATTATTATTTATTTTCATATAAAGAATTTAAATTATAAAAGTTTTCTCAGAAATATTAAAATATGAGGTACAAATTTTACATTTTTTTTAACAACTCAAAGATCCCATTGGAATGTAAAATGTCTGTTTGAGTTCCATTTTTTATGTAAAATATATTTTGAAGTAGTAAATTGATGGAGAATATGTAATTAAAAATAATAAATTTTTTTGGATTACGTGTAATATTATTTTATTGAAAAATGTGTTGTAAAAAAAAAATAAAAAAATATTTTAAAAATGTATAGGGATCAAGCCGGGGCAAATTCAAAAGATTGATCCGAAGATACGGCATTGGCCACGCGTCCACCTAGCCGGTATTACTCACTAGTTACTAGAGCCTTCCAAATAGAGGTCGGTCAATTTTATTTTATTTCTATTTTTTAAATATTTTGCGCTTAAAAACTTTCCTCTGCATTACAGAGAAATTAACTCGCTATATATGTAGTAATTTTCATCCCCTCGAATAATTTCTATCTGCAATTCACTTCAGCTAAATTCTTTAAGCACTCTCGCAGGTAAATATTCTTTTTCCTCGCTACGTTTGGGTATGAATTAGATTTTTATTTATTATTATTATTTTTAGGAAGCTTTTTTTATTTTTTGTGTAGAATCGTTATGCAAATCGACATGTAGCGTACTATGTTCAGCTTTTTTATGATCTGTTTAGTTTGGTTTATTTATAATTTTTGTTCTTTCTTTATTTAGGGTTCGATCGTTATTTGTTTATTTATTTTGTAATTGATGATGCTTGTAACTGATCAGTTGGCGTGATATTTAGGATGTTTTTTGATTTTGTAGTTGTTGATTTTTTTAATTTGTGATAATTTTGCTCGAAAGTTTTTGAGGGTTTTGGAAATCTGTTTTTGGCATGAGTTTGTTTGGGAAACTTGACATCTTCATTTAGTAGTTGATCGTAGTGAAACATGGAACACGAGCCCTAAAATGAGAGGCATAAGGAAATGATTTTTAACTATTTGGATTGAGGATGGATTTTTGTTGACCTGCCAGAAATTTTAGAAGCTTGATACTACAAGGTATATTTTTGTTTTTAAATGAAATGATTACGAGCTTGATTCAGAGTTTGGGAATTGTTGTGTAGAAAGATGAACAAAGAAAATATATAATTAAAATATGCAGACTTGGTTTAATCTGGCGATTCAGGCGATGAGGTGAATTAGTGCAAATGCATCTTTTGAATTTCGTTCTCTGATATTCATTTCTTTTTGATGTTCCGTATCTCTTTTGATGCTTTAGTTGTGCCTGGCAGTAGCTGGCTTTCTATAATTATCGTTCATCTGCTGATCATCTTCAAGCATTCAGGAAACATGATATTTCTAAATTCTGGAAATGAAATTGCGGAGTAGTCATACTTTGTCTAAATACTTGCGAATTTCAAGAGTTCCATCTTTTTTTCAGCAACGTTAGCGATGCACTTTGATAAGAGACAGCATGGCCTGTAAAATTATACATTTTTTAGGCACTTGATGTTAGTAAAATGAACTTGAGATGCTATTCTACACTGTGCTGCATTTTGTGGGCAAATATTTCCTACGGTTGCATGTAAATGTACTTGGTGCTTCTCAAAAGCCCTCAGGAACGGAGTTGATGCTCCCACATCCATAGCTTGAGTAGTTAAAGCAAGGGAATGATTTGAAATTCGAGTTATTTCACGGAATAACACTCGTATATATT